GGCTTGTCTGGTTGTTTCTGACCCTTTTCTGTGGGTCCCCACTGGAAGATGCTTTAGACTTGTGGCAGGCTTTGGGGCCTTGCTCTGGGCCAATCCCATATGGATGGACTTTTACCCACGAGGGGACGGGTAACTTTGGGTGCTTCATTTAGAAACTAGACTCTTTGCCTTACCTGTATTGTTTCCTAGTTTTATTAAAGTTCCTTCCCATTAAAGTCTCATATGTTTTGTGTTGATGCGGCGGATGGCAGAACCCATTTAGAATAGGCAGGTTTGCGGGGTTTGGGCTGCCCCTCTCCCTGTCCTATAACAAAGTGAATTCAGTTCTATGGTTATTATCAGTTAATTAACATTCGTGTTGGTTTTTCCTCATGGCTTAAATTCCTAGATGTTCTTTAATCTATCAGGCACCTTGTCAGAAAGCAGAGGCTTGGGCTTCAACCCTGTAGGTTCTGTTTTAGTAGATAGTGGGTACAGCCCAAAGAATCTGCAATTTTAGTAAAATTTGAGTCAATTCAGAGGCATATGGTAGAAACTTTGACTTAAAGAGATTGCTTGGAATTGCCTAGATTAGCACGAATCTCTTGTGACTTTGAAATAAAAATAGAACCTTTCTTTTTAAATAGGAAGGTCTTCTCCATTTCTAAAATTTAACACAGTTTCAATCACAGCACCACCTCCTTTCCTCAGGACTGCAAACACAGGGCTCCTGGATCACTTCCTGCTACACCCACCTGCCCATCTGCCAGCCTGGGCTTCTGGGCTGTCCCAGTACCATAGTGTCAGGTTTCAGCCACTGGAAATTGCTGGCAGGTAGCCAGAGTGGGGAGTAGAGTCTGATACAGGATAGTACCCCCCCACTAAGTGGGACTCAAGACTTCAAGGACTCAGCTTGAGTCTTGAAGGATCATATTGTTGGTGAGGTATCTGACTACAGGAAGCTTTGGGACTCAAGTATGAATCTTATTGCTGCAGTAACTGTTCCTGTGAACAACTTTTCCCTATTTGTTTTGTTTAAATGTATCTAGAAAATTTTTTTTCAAAATTTTTTCAAAATTTTTTTCCAAAGATTCAACATCAAAAATTTATCAAGTGTAAAAATCCAGTCTGTTTGATCCTGTTAAAATAATTTCACAAGTAGCTACCAGAAACAAGGTATATACAACAACCTGAAGAATTAGAAGAAGGAGCAAACATTTTCCTTTCTAAACAAAGAAGAGTGAGCCCCATCATTTGCATTTTTCCTCTCCTGTATAATTTTAGTGTCTTTGACACATTTCTTTTTTTTTTCTGGAAAATTCTTAATCCAGCTTGGTGATTCTGTAGCCTTGTTCAATGTCCTATAAGTGCTCTTTTGATCCTTATTAGAATTTAGGTTTTTAACATCATTTAACTTTTCCTCTGTAGCTACAATGACTTCCTTAGGGAGTGGCCCTGCCAGCATTTCTGGTTTCTGAGTTTACTTTATTGTTCCCCATGAAGGTGGGGAGCAGAAAAGTGAGGGGACCAGAAGATCCCCATGGACGACTCTGTGGTGATTGGTATGACAGCACAGCCTGAGGACGTGGGCTTCTGGGTCTGGCTGTCTGAGCAGAATTACTGTTTCACCATTATGATCCATTATGCCTCATTGTGATTGTGTAGCCTTGGGTGAGTTATTAACTTCCTTCTATGAAAATGGGAATCCTGGTTGACTCATGGATCCTTGGTAAGGTTGGGTTCATGATCTAGAGTGTTTAACCTGGCAGTGCTTGATGCGTCGAACGCCTCTGTAAATGTCAGCTGTTCTTCTTGGTTAGCCTTTTCCTTCCTTAACACACTTGTCCTTTGAGGTCTTAGTAGTCACTGTCCATGAATCTGCGTAGGCTTCTGGTATCATCAGACATGTCCCAATTTTTAAAGGGACCAGATTCTTTTTCCTAGAGAGTCTTTTTTAACAAGATGTCCAAATTGAAGACAGCGCCTAACTTTTGTGGAACCATGACATCATAATGGAACTACAGTTTTGTGATTACAATTGTGTAGTGAGCAATAAGCTTTAAGGAAAAAAGTGACTTCTTTCCAGATAGTCACCTTTTGTTTTTTGAGGTTCTCAATGTCTCTCCATCTGTGTTGTTTTGTGAGGGAAACGATCACAGTGGGGATTTCTTAATTGTTTTTTTCCATGTAAGGAAGTTTTGTTTACCTTTTTTACCTTAAGCTTACACATGTGTAAGACTATCATCAGCAAACTTCCCAGAAGAGAGAGGTGAGGCTTGGTAGATAACGTGGGGTTCTTAATGGTGGGAATGGAGAACCAATGGAGTGTTTTCTCCCCTCTAGCTATTCCCGCTAGTGTTTCTTAGCAGATTTGCCAGCTCACAGATGGTTTTTACCTTAAGGTTCTGTTGTAAAGAAAGACTATTTTAAAGACTGTGTTTATGGACATGGGTACATTCCAACTGTAGGGTGAAATTGGAAGAAAATTAATTAGCAAGGTAAAAATGCACCAGGACACAGTCCCAGAAATAGGGTCACAGTTGGAAATTTACAAGGCTAGTGCATGCGGCGTCTTCTTTCCCCTTAGATTGTCACTTCGATTAGACAGATATATACCTAGAAGTTGATAGTGGCTGGGCTGGTTAAGTGGTGCATTTCAATAAGTGTGTGTTGATGGTGAAAAGGGAGAGGCCAGAACTGCAAATCAGTGCTGGTAGCTTTTAATAGAACTTTAAAAAAGATTAGCTGTAGTTTCTCTGCTCAGTTTCTGGCATCAGTAGTGAGTTAAGCAACAATTTGTATTTTTACTTCCTCTCTCAAAGATACAGTATACTGTGCAGGTTTTGTTAGCTACAGACAGCAGTTATTGCAGAAAGCCAATATGATCGTTTAGGGCAGAAATTGGATAAGGACCATCATAGCCTGCCCATGCGTGTATACAAAGTGCTTGGCCTTACATTAGGCAATGAATGGGGCTCATCTTGTGGAAAACCCCAACAACCCCATGGGGGAGTGAGAGCTACAGAAAGGGCCAAGATTCAACAGCTGACAAGTAGGGGTCTGGACTTGAAGACAGGTCTCTGGCCGCAGACCCCTCATTTGTAGCGCAGCCAGCCATCCGTCTTGTGGGCCTACTCCATAAAATTGGTCAAGTGTGTGCAAAGGACTGTAAGTGGAAAGTCCCCTTATGTTGAGATGAAAATGCTTACTGTGGCGAAAGATTACATTCTGGACCTGACATCCTATGCCCTTGATCCTTAAAAGAACAAGCAGTATTTTCCTTGATATAAAAATGTCTAGTCTAAGGGAGTAGGTAACATAAAGAAGAGACAAAAATAGTTGAGTACCTGTTTTTGAGATGGCCTACTTTGAAGTTTCACTGGAAACATTCTTTTACTTTTTTTTCTCCAATTAGGACCATTTTGGTATTTCTCCACCTATGACCTTTCTTCCTTTATCCCTCCTAGTATCTTCTATATCAATCAACTTTCAAATGAAAGTATTCCTGACTTCCAAATATGTCACAAGTTACATGCTGAATATTTTCAACACATGTGCTTTTTACCGGTTCATGTTACCTAATATGAATTCTTCAGTGTCCCCAAAGCAACTGGGCTTGACTTTGATCGGTTTTATAGATCAAATCCATAGTTCAGCCATGCTAGATTATAGCAATGCAGTGCAGGGAATTACTCATTTCATAATTAATAATTCTATGCGTTGTTTTAGGGACCAATGTTTTATTTTCTCTTTAACTAGGGATAAGGGCCCTTTATTCCATCTTATAATCACTATGAATATGATAAATGACAGAGACAGAAAAGGGTGATATGAATAACATTAGACTATATATCTTGAAGGATGAGCTGTAAAATGAGTAAAATATAAATATATAAAATAGAAGGACACAGCAAAAAGTCAATACAAATTGACATCTATTGACTTTCTGCTGTTTCCTTATATTTCTGCAAATTGGTTTCATCTCTTAGTTTTGTTCAGCGGCATAAGCAAACACAATTTTGGCAGACAAGAGAAGGTTCTGTTCCTAAACCTGGAGCAGGTAGGCCTGCCTGGTGTGTTTGCTTTAGCATACACCCGCGTCTCTAGAATGTCCTGAGTTATCCCAGTCTTTAAAACAGGAATGCAAAGGGTGCTGACTGTCACTTCGATGAGACAATTGTTAAAAAATGAAAAAACAACCTCATGCTTTGAAATGTAGACAATGTAGATCATAAGTTTGAAAGGAGCTTTCTACAAGGAGCTATGGTGATGGTTCATGGGTGATGCGATGGTAGGAGATTCATAGGGACTACACCTGAGGTGAGAAATCAAAGAGTGTACAAAAACAAACAACAATATAAGAAAATAAAGTTTCATCAATAAAATAAATAAATAAATAAAAGGAGCTTCCTTTGTAACGTAAGCATAGACTTTGGCTGGACCTCGGTAACTCAGGGTACAGTGAGGACCTGAGACCAAGGGTTTCATCATCCTGTCCTTAGTTGCCCAGTGAATTCCCAGACAAGCTGTGCTTGTGCTATAAAGAAGCAGAGTTAACTCTATTAGGTGTGACTTTAAAAGACACCTCACCTGACACATAATGGGGTTCCTGTGGCCAAGCATGTCCGCCCTGCTGCTCGTTGATTGCAGAATGTGGTAGAGTAGTCAGAGAACACGTTCCTGAGCATGAGTGGCTCCTGAGTGGTGGCAGAAGGCCTGCCAGGCCCCTTAGAATCCTGTGTGCAAACAGAACAATACACTCAGCCTGCTGGGGTCCACAAATGCTACTCTTACTGGTTTTGTGGAACCTTAATAAGGGGACCTTGTGGAATTGTGGGACTAGCGTTTCTTAAGACTGAATTCTAGAAGGATGCATAACAGGCAAGGAGCGTGGTGGGGTGGGTAGGACTTGTGGGGTGAGGACAGATTACGGTTCCTCTGTGCTGGTAAATCTTCAGGCAGGTTCATAGGTGAGATGTTTACCATCTGTAAAGCATCACCTTTTTTGTTTTCTCTTGCAGGAGTGACTTTATTTGAAGAGTTCTAAGAGACTGAAAACTTACGAGATATGAAGTTGCCTAGGGAATATTTTTTTATCTTTTGTATAGTTTCTATCGTGGAATCTGCAGTCACGTGAATAAAAGCTGAAAGGGAATAAATACTGTGCTCTGCTAGCTACAGAATGCATTTTGCTTTGAAACAGTTTTGATTTCAAAAGTCTGATGAAAAAATTACGTTTCCAGGGAAGAAAAGAGCTCGGTGTTTTAAATCTCCCCCCGGCCCCAGGCCAACTCCTCATCCCTGGCCTTGGTGTCCACACTGCAGTGTCTTCCATGTGCTCACTATGTACAGTGAAACTATTTGTGTACAGCCTGTGTTGATGTCATGTGCGTTCACATGTGTGGTGTGTGGCACGTGTGCACACACTTCTTTCTCCCCAAACCTTACATTCCATTTTGCTACTGGTTGTAAGAAGTTCCCTTATGGTTTAACTGTTACAAAAGATAAAGATGACTCTTCCATAAAATCCTCCAAAAGGCAGATAACTCTTCAGTGGTGAAATCCCCATGAAGATAATCTGAACTGGACCTGAGAGATTATTCCCTGGGACCCCTAAGATCATGGAATCCGATGGAACCAGGTACTAGACTTTGGATCCAAGACCAAGAATTCAGTGTTAACTCTTGCTACTATTATCCCATCCCCTGGTCAGTTAAAAATTTTGAGATTTTTTTTTAACCCAAACTAAGCAATTCTCATTTAGTTCAATGAAGGGGAAAATGTATTAAAATAAAATGTTTTGTTTTGACAACCCAAGGACAAGACAAAGCCAAAAACTCCCCTTCTTGGTGCAATATGGGAAAGTAGTTCTGGCATTTTCTTTGGGGAACTTCCTGTTTTCTATCTGGTAACTAATGCTGTTATTTACACAATTCTTGGTGGTTTCTTTCTCCTGTCCACCTGGAAAACCTTTTTTTTTTTTTGCGTTACAGTTTATGAAACAAACACCTGTAAGAACCCACAGGCAAAGATAAATTTCTGTAGGTCTGGGCTGAGGAATGGGGCATCCAGATCCAGGGAAATCTCAAGGCCTCTGTGTCAGTGTTGGCTGTTGCCTGGAGCACTTCTAGTTGAGAGAGAAAAAGCACATTTTTCATATGAATCCCTAAAGGTGATTTTTATAAATATGTACTGCAAAGTATTCACTGTAAATACACTCATTCCATTCTGTTTCTGTCATCAAACTGAACATTTCTAACCTTTTAAATGAATGGTAGGTTTAATTTCATGTGAATTTTTACTGATAACAAATTAAAAGATGTGTATGTCTATGTATGCATATATGTGTATATATACATACACATACATACACACTAGACTAGAGGAAGTCAGTATGGAAACCAATTTTCAGGTCCAGAAAGTAGCAACTTAGGAATTTTGGGGTATGTATTAGTGTAAATAATATATGTGTGGTTTAGGCCAATAACTTTTCTTTTTTAAAAAGCATTTTTGCTTTAAAGATACTATACCTTCAAAATGGTGAGGGGTAAAATGTAAGATATTCTTCAGCTTTAATTATTTTTCCATAGTATTCAGGTTAGAGCACTTTTTTTTTTTTTAAACAGCAATACAACAGGCAAGAGAATACTCAAAAAATATTTAAAATTGTATTGAGACCAAGAGTACATTTTAAATATTTTATAATACTTGAGCAGTTTTTGTCTGGCTGGCTTCCAAATATGCCAAAAGTCAAACATTGAATATTTTCAACACATAAGCTTTTTACTGGTTTATATTATCTAATAAGGATTCTTAAGTGTTCCCAAAGCATCTGATGTTTACACCCCTGGTGTTTTCCTCCTTTTTTGGAAGGACTGGGCAGCCACAGCAAAGTTAGGCTACAAAACACTAACATGGACTAACTTCTGGTGTAATCAATGAGTTGGCTACCACCTTGATGTAAAAATTTGTAAAGGAGATTTTTCACCATTTCGAGTGTCAAATGTATTTTTAACTGTCTGGTTTGTACTTTTATGACTTTTGTACTACCAAAGCAGAGTTAAAAATAAAAATGTTAAGCACAGAATGCTGTTTTGAAATGATCTGTTGGTTGGTGCCCTGTACACAGTGAGAGCTCAGAGTTTGCTTGTTCCTCTTGTTTTTCCCTAATAAGCTCCAGTAAAGCCCTGCTCCCCAGACTTCCTCAGCTCTCCCTGGTCCCCACGTTCGGGGTGCTCATGGGATACCCTTCTGACAACAGTCACTGGTCTGAGTTCCTTCTTTCCTCCATATCCTGGTTGAAATGTTAAAAATCTCTATAGCATAAACTTCACTCTGTGGTTCCTCACTGCACTTGGACTTTGAATTTTTGTGGGTTTTGTTTTCTTTGCCATGAAAGCAAGAGAACTGGTCACAGCATATGCCAGTGAAGTGGAAAATCTGATTTTTATCACTTTCTGCTCAGGTAAACTAAGAAACCGGGAATATACACACCAGGGAGAATGTGAAACATCCCCCCAAATCCCTCATTTCATGGTTAAGAAGGGTGACTTGGGTGACTGGTTTCCTTCTTAGTCTTTTTGGGTCTCTCAGACGGTCAGTGCAGGGCAACACAGAACACCAGCATTGCAACGCCAGCCTGGATGTTGGCTCAGCCCGGATACCAGCAGGGCGGAGTAAATTTGCCAGGGGCCCGCTGTGGCCTTGTCTCTCTCAAGACTACCTGGGTGTGGCAGCCTCCTCTACCTCCACCTGGCAGACTGAAAGGTAGGGAGCCCCTTCTACCCTTCCACGGAAGACAGCAGTGGGAGCTTGGAAGTAGGCCCCCAAGACTCAGAACTGGTCACCTAGGGCTTGGCCGAGGCCAAAGGGGGTTGGGGTTTGCCAGCACTCACACCCTCTGACCTGTGGTCTGGAGGCAGGTGTTTCTCCCAAGCCTGCTCTTGGGAGACTGTTCTTTCCTGGACTGTTCCTCCAGACTGGAGTGGGGCAACCAGGCGCAGGTGGGGGGCACCGGGAGGCTGGCAGCAACCAACCCCCCCAGTTCCCAGCAAATCTTTACTCTTTCTCTGGGCTCTCTGGCTTTCTGTCTGGCCTCACCTCTCCTGTAGTCACTCGTCATCCTGTAGCAGTCCTCTGTCTCTGAGTGATGCCACCCTTGTACGGAACCCTGGCCTCCAGGCTCAGGTGTGCACAATTGCGCATGCTCACACCCATGCTCCAGGTGCCCACAATCAGGCACACGTGCCCCGCGTCCACCAGCCCAGGCCCTTCTGCATGAACACCATGAGGCCCAGGTGAAAGCCACAGAGGATAGAGATGTAAAAAGCCTGGTTAATTCCATTTACCCTACGCAGAGCATTCTCAGATCTCGCCTTGGGCCTCTCATCATAGCTCCAAATACCTGAAAGGACACCTGAGACATCTCTGTCCCTGCAGTTTGGTGGCCAGTGTCGCTGCCAGCCTGGCATAGAGCGGCCACTGGCCCCCTCTTCTGGCCGAGTCGGGGAACTGCAGGAAGTGGGATTCGGGGCCACGTGTTGCGCGGTAGCTTCATTCTGGACGGATTCCCAGAAAGCACACGTGATTGTCGAATGAATAAAAAAAAGTCGACCTTTCAAAAAATGAATGCATATAATAAAATATTTTACGAGAGTGAACATTTAATTTTAAGTTTTTCCTAACCCATTTTCTGACCCTGCCTATTTGTCGTCTTTCTCATCAGAAACCCGGGTTTCTTACCTGGATGCAAGTGTCCAGCAGGTGTTAGCTTGGATGCTGGTAGGAATGATTGAGTTCCATTCTGGAGGAAAACCCATGCCTGGGGTCCTTTGTGGAAGTGGTGTGACTGAATAGCTGTGAGGTCTTGGAGAAGTGGCTCACTGAGACTTTGTGGGTGAGTTGGAATCCAGGCTCCGCCACTCACTCTTGTGTGATGTTGGGGAAATTGCCTAACCTTTCTGAACTGCAATTTTCTTATCTGTAAAAAAAACTTATTTCGTAGGTGTAGGGTAAAGAAATGTCAGGCTTTTCTGCCCTTCCGCCATCAGGATAGATGATGGATCCTTGTCCTGAATGCATGCCTGATGGCGGGCACCTGGAGTAGGGTGTGGGCACAGGTAGATGGGATTCACCTGGGCTAAGACTGGGCTTTTAAGGGCAGCGTCACGGGGACGCCAGCAGAAGCCAAGAAGCCAAAAAAGAAGCCGAGAGAGAAGCAAGAGAAGCAGACGCTGAGAGAAGGCCGGAGAGCCCAGATAGAGGGAAGACTTGCTGGGGGCTGGGAGGCCTGCCAGTCTCCCGGCCCCCCAGCACTCCTGCCTGCCAATAAAAATCCCAATAAAAAGACCTGCAAAAAGCCACTAAGGACTCTGACTCCTCCTTTACCGGGTCTGCTGGATCAGAAAACCTGCTCAGTGGCCTTTCCTGTCCCTACAGAGGGGTTCATTTTGAGGAGGCAGAGATGCAGAGGTAGAAAAAGAGCTGAGGATGAAGATGCAGTAAGTACAGGAGACAGCTGAGATGACATCAGCCTAGCATCTTTCACCTGGGAATCCTGCCTATGGAGACGTCTCCTCCCTTCTGGAAGCCAGTCATGCGCCTGCTCCCCTGACCGCTGCAGGGCATGAGGTGGGCACATGACCCTTCTGGTCCAATGGATTCCCTCTCTGGGATGTTTGCCAGCTCAGGCTGGAGAAGTGTTTGGTTTCTCTGGTGGCTAATGCTGTGGCCTCGGGGCTGGGGGGAGGCCTTGTCTCCTGGCATGTGGCGGAAGCTGGTCAGGGGAAAGAGGGGAACATGGGGGTGGGGGGAAGAGAGGTGATCCTGGCTGCTGACAGGCCCTCGACTCAGTTGTTCTTGAGACCCAACTGCCTTTATTTCATTTTATTTTTTAATTTTTTTTTTTTAAGAAGTGGGGTACAGGCTGGAGTCATGGGGGGGGGGGTTGTGTGAGAAGATTTACCAGAGACAGAGCAGGGAGCAGAACAAGCAGATGTACCAAAACACACTGCCGAGGGGAGCATCAGGCGGAACAGGAGAGGTCTGCCATGCCATGTGGGTTGCTCCCAGCCAGCCAGGGATCAAACTCATGTCGCAAAGGGGGCAGACGGCTTCACAGCGCTGTGCTCAAACCCTGCACCACCAGGGAGGCCCCCAACTGCCTTTTTATGAACATTCCAAGGACATTCCTCTTTTGTCTTACCTAGTTTGGACCAAGTCTCTATCATTTACAGCACCAACACCATGCCTGTGATTACTGCAATTATTCACAAACCGTAGACATATGTGCAGTTACCCCTCAACCATCACACCTCTGGCCTACACCCCAGTTCTTGTATGCATAAACAAAATAAAATCTTTAAAAAAAATTAAAAAAATAGATCCAATTATCTCACTTTGGGTATTTTAACCTAAGTATTTACTTGAAGAATAGAAAAATCCTAATCCAAACAGATGTATGTACCCCTATATTCATTGCAGTATTAGTCACAATGCTAAGAGTTGGAAACAACCTAAGTGCCCATCAGCAGATAACTGGATAAAGAAGGTGTGGTACACATACACAAGGGAATACTACTCAGCTATAAAAAAGATGAAATCCTGCCACTTGCAGCCATATGAGGGGATTATGCTAAGTAAAATCAGTCCGAAAGAGAAAGAAAAACAATGACTTCAGTCATGTGGGGAAGACAAAGCAACAAAACCAATGAATAAATAAAAATAAACTTAGACTATAAGAACAAAATAGTGGTTACCAGAGGGAATAATCAGGTAAAAGAGGTCAATTTGTATGATGAGGGATGGAACATAAAGGTGTGGATATATCACTGAAACCTATGTTATAAGTCAATGCTACTTCAATAAAAAATAAAAATAGAAAACAGAAAACTTTCCCAAAATTGAATCATCCCTCTAGGTTCTCCTATCACTTTGTTTTAAAGTCCACTCACCTTTTAATCTCAGAAATCACTTTATGGTAGTGATTGTTTTGTTCCCTGAAATAATGGAGACCAAAGTCTTTCTCTGCTGGAAACTTCATCTGTAGCAAAATCTCACCTATTGATTCAGCCCTGTTTTTGTTCTGATGAGGACACAGCTATCTTCAGAGAGGGCGTATTGAGTGTTCCTTAAAAGAACTAGTGAGTGTTTAATCCAGACTATGTGAGATCCTGTCATTGACTGGCTGTGTGACTGAGGGTGAGTTACAGTTTTTTTGAGCCTCCATTTCTGCATTTGTGAAATGGGGCTACTCACAGGGCTGCTGCGGTGGACATGAGATGAAGCATATGCAGCACCTAGAACACTGGTTATATACTAAACACTTAACAAACAGTAGCTTTTCAAAAGTTAAGTTCACTTTTCACCTATAAAAATCCAAAAATGATAGCTTGATGGCTCCCAGAAATTATTATTAAGATTTCTATATCACTAATTTTATTTGGCAAACTATTTTTGAAAGTGTCTTTGCAGATGGTTTCCTTTTTTTTTTCCCTCCGATGCACTTTTCATTTAAATACCCTAACAGGCCTTGCTGGTTTGTCTCCTGGCTAATTGCTGAGGTCATGAAAATCTTAGCACCTATGATCTTATGACTTCATAAATGGGTAATGCAAAGCTTTTGATTCCTTTCCATGCATCAAATCTGAGACAGGGAGGGCATGTCAGTCAATGAGCAGAGACCAGCCACCCTATTGACCTGTGACATCTTCCTTGTTCATGTAACTACCAAGGGTTATATGCACCATTTTCCATAGTTTTAGCACTATTTTGGAGAATTGAAAAAGATGAATGGGATCCAGAAATAAAATTATTTTTCTAGCCTTTTTTTTTTAAAGGTTGGTAACTGTTGTCAAGAGCATTTTATGGTTTTGCTTTCAAAATAGCAAGATCCCAACTAAACAAATGTTTTAATCAGTTTGTCTCCCAACTGTCATACTCAGGTTAGTTTGGAATGTGTAGCTTTGACACGCAGATGAGTAAAATTCTCTGTCGACCTCTGGTCTCCAGGCCAAATTTTGCCCTAGTTTTATATTAATCTTCTAAAATGCTTCAAAGCAGAAGCACCTGCAAAGGATAAGGCAGGGAACAGCAGCAGAGGAGTATCAGGTGTGCATGGCACTCTTGCTTATATTCTAAGGTATGGCTCACCTGGCACTTGACTGCCCTTGACTTTATACAGTAGGAGGCTAAAAGCCAGGGAGGGCCTGTGCGTCCATAAGGTAAGTCGGCACATGCAGTCATGACGTCTGGAGCTCGGCCGCCAGAGACAGAGCCAAAGTGAGGCTGTCTCCTCCTCAACTGTATTTTAGTAGCTTAGTTCTTTAAACGGAAAGAAACTCAAGAATCAATAATACTCTGGGAAAATTAGAACCACCTATGAGTTAAAACAGACAGACACATATGTTGTTATATTTTAATCAGAATCAGATAGATAGTAAATGGAAAAAAATACTCCACATATTCTTTAGCTGTTTCAAATCTCATGACTGTAAAACCCCGATCAGTTTTAAGAGTTATTTTGACTGGCCTCCCGGGTCCTAAAGCAGATTAAAAAGTAATGTAAAAAAGTTAAGGTCAAGGTGTCTTAATAATGCAGCTAATGACTAACCATTTGTTGACTGGCAGTTTCGGCTCCTTCCTGAAAGCTGACTCGAACTCGCTGTCAAACAAGTGGTTAGTTATTAGTTCCCTGGGTGCTTGTCCCTGAAGGGAAGCCATGCTCTGGGGACACATCAGGCACTTTAAAGTAGGAATAGGTAACTGTACCAGGTGGGGCAGGACATTTGGCTCTCAAAACCAAGATAAGAAATTTACAGTCGAACAGAATGTTGAGTCTGTGCCCTTGGGATTCAATGCTGGGATTTCAGAGCCTTCTTGAAATATCCATAGCAGATGGGAAAAAAGGGGGCGGGGGAGGCTTTGTGGGTTGACAAGTAGACACCCTGTAGGACAAGGGGCCTGATGATCCACTGATTTAAATTCAGCATCCAGAAGAGCCAGCCACACAGTGACGCGCTCAGTATTCAGTATGGCTTACGGCACAGACAGCGAGAAAAGGATGCTGGATGTAAACTATTGGCAAGGTTGCACCGGCACAGCCTGCGGCAACTCTTCACTGCCTCTACGGAACAAAAGTACCCCCTCACACGTAGAGAGCCGCTCATTTATGTGCCCCCCAGACTCTCCCCAATCTGCCTCATCCACATCTTCTCCTGCCGTAGCTGCTTCTAAAGCTGCAAGGGCTTCAGCCACTGCCGCGTCCTCATCTGCCACCTCCCCACAACTGTCACCAGGGGGGCTATGGGTATCCCCCCACCCATTTCTCGAATCAACCACAGGCGTGACATGAGTGGGAGCCTCTTCTTTAAAGTAGATACTGAGAAGGTCTGTGGCCACAGCTTCGTTTAAGGAATCCCAGCTTCTCTTCAGGGAGAAGGGCAAATCCAGGTAGTGGTCTCCCTTCTCCAGGTGAATTCCCTCCACGAGTCCATGACCCATGTTGTCTACAGTTGGGCCCCAAGGTTGAGGGTAATCCGGGGGGGGTATCTGGAGGACATGGTCTTGTGCTTCCAAGACTGTGGTGGGAGCTCTGGAGTCTCCGTTCAGGATGACCTGGCCCTCTTCCGAGAATGGTTGTTCACAGTCCTGTTCCCTGGCATTCCCTGCTTCAAGGAAGGCCTCAGTGGGGTGAACACTGTTTTCTGTACTGGCCCAGGAGCCCTTGTCATCTTGGTGGGGACCCGGGTCCCCAGTGGGCTGCGGAGTAGGACCAATGCCATTGAGGGCACCACCAGTCTTGCCAGCACCGAGTCCCCATTCCGTGTCCCCCTGAGAGGGGGCTCCAGTAGCGGTTCTGTTTTGGCTGCAAATCCTCTGTAAGTGCTCACTCGGAAGGTCGTTTTGATGCACCGAGGCTTGGCTGGTCTGCCTGCCTTTTAATTTACCAGTATCATCTTCGTCTAATTTGCCACCGTTCACTTCGTTGACATAGCCAGGAGAGGACACTTGAACAGGATCAAAGAGATAGCTGGGGGTGACAACAATGGAGATTAGTCACGTTAATTATTAATTAACTACATTTATCAATAACTAAATTTCACTACCAATACTTTCTACCAAAGTCTGGTTTTCCCCCTACTATTTCTGTTAACTTAATTTCTGTGAACAATCATTCTTTAAGCCTACCTGGGGGTCTAAATAAAATAGTTGCTATAAAAATGTTCTATCACTGGAAATAGGATTTAAGAAGAGATGCCAAGAGGATGGGGAAGAAGGTAGAATACAAAGTGATTTATAGAATTTAAAAACAAGAAAAAGTAGGAAGTGTGGGGTGAAAAAAATAAAAGCAAGAAAAAGTAAATGAAAAGTAAAACAAATGTCCAAAACCAGGGAAATGAGTGGTTAAGTATTGATGGCATAGCCTCTCAATGGAATATTATGCAGTCATCAAAATGATAAATATGAAGTCTGGAGTAGCATGAATGATTCTTATGTTGTTTTTAATAAAACCCAATATCACATTAGGATTACAATGGAGTAAAACTTCTGTCTGTCTGTCTATCTATCTATCTATCTATCTATCTATCTATCTATCTATCTATCTGAATAAATAGGCTTATAGGTTTATAGATACAGGTTTGTAGATATAGTTTTGCAATGGAACTAGAATAACATAGTTTTATTTGTTAAGGAAGCAAAATCATCAGTTAATTTTTTTCTCTTTATTTGATATAAAATTCTATTCATGATGCCCAAATATTTATGAAAGAGAATATAGAAAAATTAACACATATATGTAAATGAGGTGATTTATATTCAGTAATATCATTTCAGGAATCCCTGAAACTTAAGGATTTTTTTTGTGCTGATGCTCTCTGGAGAAAAGCAAATTCAATCCAAACCAAATTCTGTTTTAGAAAATTGCAGTGCTCATAACATGCTCTGAGCAAAAATACAATAAAAAAAGTCTCAAAGTATCTAAGCAGCTCCAAACTCTTAACTTCTTGGCATTGCTGGTCATGCCCCAGCAGGAGGAAAGCCCCAAATCCAAGTGGTTCTATACACCTGCCCTCACGTAAACCAAAGATCCCTCCATTCGATTTATTTTTCAGCTTTACCTTTGTATCATTTTACAGCACCTGCACCCCATCTGGATGATTTTTTGTTACCATCTGCAAAAGAAATTGTAGAAAGGAGAGCACAGAGTGAATGACATTTGAATTAAATTTGCTTTTTCTTTCCTAGATACTCAAAGTCAGTAGAGTCACCGTGGGTAACGTAGGTCAGGGGGGAGGGACACTGGTTACTGGGAACCCCTTTGTGGCTCTAAAATCAGTGGTTCAGACTTCTCTAACATTTGTTGACTCTTGTCTCTGTGCTGGACCTATTCCCATCTGTAGGAGTCTTGTCATGTCTTGGCCATATTGCAAGTAAGGAAATACAGGTGTAAGAATGCTAAGGAGGAAAAGCTGGGTTGAAAAGGCTCTGCCTGTTTTTATTTCATTGCCTTCCATGCTGACAAGGTCACGGCCACGGAGCTGCAGTAGAGTAAGTGAGCAGGGAGGATTCCTTGCCTCTGTAGCTACTCTTTTTTTTTTTTTTTTAAAGATTTATTTATTTATACAAGAACTGGGGTACAGGCCAGAGTCACGGAGGGTGAGAGGATTCACCAGAGACAGAGCGGAGAGCAGAATAGACAGACAAACCGAAAACACTGCTGAGGGGAGCAGTGGGCCAGACAGGAGGGGTCTGCCGCGCCATATGGGTAGCTCCCAGACTGGCCAGGAATCGAACCTACGCTGCAGAGGCTGTGGACAGTTTCACAGCGCTGTGCTCAACCCGCTGTGCCACCGGAGAGGCCCTGTAGTTACTCAAGTCTTAAAGGGTGCCAGGACAGTGGTGGATGTGTGTGCCACCTCACAGGGGTTACAGCTCGAGTCATCACCACGAGCTGGATAAACAGGGTAGGTAAAAAGTGCGGCATGCACCTCTGGCCCCCATTTACCTTTTTCCTCCCCCTTTCCTGTCGCCCTAGAATCCTGCCCCTTTCTGCACTTGCAGTCCCTTTGTTTATCTTGGACACTGTTAAAAAAAACAGTCAGTGAATAGTGACAAAAAATGTCAGAGGAAAGGAAAAATGGGCTTTGAAGTGCTTGACATGGGACGGACCGTGGCTCATAACCACACAGAGGAAGCAACTGTGAAATATTAATCATTGGAAAATAGCAGGTAGGTCAGCCTAGGTGAGGAGTTCAGGAACTTTATGTGGGGCAAGTTTTCTTTCCTTTTTTTAAAAAGATTTATTTATTTATTTACACAAGCACTGGGTACAGTCAGAAGTGCGGGAGGGTGAGAGAATTCACCAGAGCCAGAGCGGGGAGCAGAGCAGGCAGAAGGACCGAAGTACACTGCTGAGGGGAGCAGCGGGCGGCAGGAGAGGTCTGCGGGCCAAGTGGGACCCTCCTCCGGTGGCCTGGGAGCAGCCGGGGATCGAACTGGTGCCGCAGAGGCTGCGGGCAGCTTTGCAACCCAGCGCTCAACCGCTGCGCCACCGGGGAGGCCCTGGGGCAGGTATTCCTCTGAAAGAAGGGCAGAGGCAGGTCCTGAGTGGCCCCTTGCATTGCCACGCCTGACCAAGGATGACCTGGGGCCACCGCTCCAGGCGGGAGCTGGGCGTTGGTCCCCACACTGTGCTGCTGTGGCTGCGGCCGCACATGAGCACCGTGAACCAGAAGTGATGACGCAGAGATTCGGGAGCTCAACCAGGAACCGCCACTTCCCGGTTCTGACAGAATCCACACGGCATCTGTGACTGGTAGGCTCCACTCTGCCCCCCACCCCCCCATCACAGGGGCCACACATTTCTTCAAAGTCATGTAATGAGAAAGGATGTTTTGAATGGCTTCCCCTTTAGGGTCACATTTCTGGCCTGGCTGCCCCAGATCCCCCACCCACTTCAGGCTCACCTTTTGGGTACCTGCACCCAGCTCCTGCCTCTCCCCCAGCTTCAGCCTCCTCCTGGGGGGAGGTTCTACCCTCCCCTCTCTGCCTCCCTCCATGTTTTCCTCCCCCAGCGACATTCCTTTTCTCAATGACACAGGCCCTACTGTCCAGGGTTGTGTGACCGAGGGGAGGGGACCCCTGGGTTTCCACCCAAGCCCTGCCTGCCTTGCCCCTGGGGCCCACGGATGATTCTCCCTTGGATGATGGTTCTTAGAATCAAATTCAGTTTCTGTTTCCACATGTCACTCCCAGCCACAGCTGGCTAGTAGCAAGGTCTCCCATTTCCAGGTACAAAAGAGGGAAATAACGGTGGCCCAGTGCAGCAAGTAGAAATGGGGGTACGTGCTCTTTGCAAGCGAGACTGTGTTCCAGAGGGACACTCATCTCCTTCCACCCCCTGCTCTCTCTGACGACAGCTGGCTTAAGGGGGAGAACTCAGTGCCCTGTGTCACTGGGCAGAATCAAAATTCACTTTCTCTTTGGAGCAAAAAAAAGCCACAGAGAAGCAAAGGGCAAATCCTTCGCCACCATCATCTGGTTTACTCAGGGGAAAAGCAAACACCATTAGTCTGGTGTGTCTGTTCTCCACTGGCGCCCGCCTGCTCCTGGAACTCGGCGGTCAGGGCTGACTCTGTCTGCGTTTGTGTAGAACTTAAACAGTCGGTGTTTGAAGATGGGCCTGCTAATGCCCCATCGGTGACTAGTCAAATCTCGTTGCTGGGAAATCCTGTTTCACAAAGAGGGTAGGGGTGGGGCTAGGGCAAAGCCAGGCATTTTCTAACCAGGCAGAGAAATGGAGGACCAGCGTTCATCAGAAGTCCTGGCAAACGAGAAATGGCTCAACCCAGCCCCAAAGGGCTGCCTTTGAATACTGCTGGTCTTAAAGAATGGCAGGCACAGGAACCAGCGGCTTCCATTGGTCAAACCTGGAACATCAACATAAATACCAACAAAAAGGATGGTAATCCATTGAATAAGACAAGGATCTGTGAATCCACATGGATATACATTAACAAAAAGGAAAGCTCTGCAGTACACATAGCGTGCCAGCTAACAAATGTGTGAGGGTATAATGGAGCTAGAAAAATCACAGACCAAGGCATCATCACAGCCGATGCAAACAAAAATCATCAATGGATGCTGAGATTTGTGGGTGACAGCTCGTGGAGAATGAGATATTTAGCTTCAAAATAACTTCCCACCATATGTTAGTGAGCAAAACAAGCACCACCTTGGAGATAGTGCAAGTTTGGCTTCAGGCCATGCCCACAAAGAAAATATTGTCATAAAGAGAGTGTCTAGAATTTTTTTGGTTTCCCAGTGCAAATAAAGCTGTGCTTACACCATAATGTCACCCATTAAGTGTGTACTTGTATTATGGTAAAAACACAATACACACACCTTAAACATGACGCAGAGGGAGTGAGCAAAAGGCAAAATGGCACTGACAGGCTTGCCGGACACAGGGTTGCCAGATGCAGGGTTGCCACAAGCCTGAAATTGGCAAAATATGCAATTACTGTGAAGTGCAATAAAATGAGGTGTGCCTGTATCTCTAGAGTGGAGGAGCCTGGCACACAGCACCTTGACCAAATAATACAGGTAATGTTGCCAGCAAGGAGACTAACCTGCAGCGTGTGCTTCTGGGAGGGGCCTGGATTTCCTGCCAAAGGAACATCACCTGGAGGCAGCAGGCACCTGCCAGGCAAACCCATCCAGAGGGGGTTTCTGCAGACCTAGGGGTCTGCACTCTAAGAAAATGCAATGTTACAAAACACAAAGACAGACTGAGGAACTAGCCCAGATTAAAGGAGACTTAAAGAGAAGTGACAACAACCCAAGGCATGAACTTTTTACTAAAAAAAGTATTTTTGACACAACTGGTGGCATCTGAATAAGGTCTGTAATTAGGTAATCATATTAAATCAATGCTAATTCCCTGAGTTTTGATCATTGTATAGAGGTGTAGAAAGGAGTGCCCTTGTTCTTGGGAAATACACAGTGCACTGCTTATGCATAAAGGGGCATGTATCTGTAACTTATTAAAATTATTCAGGGAAAAAAACTGGAGAAAGAAGAAAGCAAATGTGGTAAATGTTAACATTTGGGGCCTGCGGGTAGAAGGTATATGGGGATTTTTTGTATTTTTCTTGCAACTGTTCTGAGAGTCTGTCAAAAAGTGAAAAGAGAAAAAAAAAAAGGGAAATAAAAAAGCATGAATGGTAGTTCTGGGTCTGCTGGGCAGTGGTTTCAGGTTATAGAAGCTGAACTACTTGCAAGGGACACAATAAAATTAAATACTTAGATTTCAGCTCCATTTTGAAAAACCAACCTGCCAATGTTTAGAACAGTCCAGGATTTCACATCATTCTGGCCAGTGGGTAAGGTACTTAGTGAGCTTCTAGACTCAAGAGGAATGAATGAAAATAAATATCAGACACTGGAGAAATGTCAGGTGCTTCAGAAATACAAGGTTGCCTGCTGACTTCACCGATGGTCCTGAATGAATCTACAACCGAGGAAGAGCAAGAAGTGAAATCCTTGACCACCCAATCCATTTCCTCAGCAGAACAATTTTCTCCTTTCTAGGCAAGCTTTGAAAACCCTCTTGGACAAATTTCTTTTTCTCCCAAAGAGGCTGAGATTTTAGCCTGCTGTCTGGAAGGCAGATGTTTCATGAATGATCATAGTTAGATCGTTTATCTTCATTGATTCCAGTTTCCCATTGGTGCCTGGCACGCAGGAGCAGAGTGCATTGGACCACAATGCTTCTGAGCTGATTCCCGAGAGCTCGTGTGTGTGTGTGTGTGTGTGTGTGTGTATGGTGGTGGTGGTATATACATATGGAGTAGGATGGAATTTATATAAACATTTGAGAAGACTCATCACACCAGCAGCTCAGCATTGGGGTTAAATGAGCAATTTAGATCTAGACTTGTAGGTTTTTCCAGTTCCACTTCTACCATTAACTAGATTTGGTATCTGCAAGCAAATTTCTTAGCCTCTGTGAATTTCAGTGTCTAATCTATCTAATCTGATAATAGTTCTTGCTTGGCAGGCTTGTTCTGAAAATGACCTAGAGGGCCTCCCTGGTGACATAAGGGGTTAAGACACAACCTATGAAGCTATCCTCAGCCACTGCAGCACGAGTTAGATCCCTGGCCAGGGAGCTACCCACATGGTGCAGCAGACCTCTCCTGACTTGCCCACTGCTCCCCTCAGCAGTGTATTTCAGTCAATCCTCCTGTTCCCCACCATCTCTGGTGAATCCTCTTACCCCCCACACCTCTGGCCTGTACCCCAGCTCTTGTATGCAAAAATAAATAAATCTTTAAAAAAAAAAAGAAAATGACCTAGAAGTATGGGAGACATGTACTAAAAAGTCTGGCATGCTGACAGTACTTATTATTAGAAGCTAAAATTTGAGCATATACTACGCATCAAGTACTATTTTAGAAACTTTCATGTATTCATGGATTTCAATCTTACAACAATCCTTGAATGTTGTATTTTACAGAGAAGTAGATGGATATAAAAGTTTAAAAATGGTACAGTATAGCTGTTACTAATGTTTCCATTGTTTTAATATCTCTTGGATATATTACACATATAGAATACTTATAATAATTATATAATACTTCCTATTCACATAGTAGCCTCTATTATGTTAGTATAATGCATCTTGGTAGGTTCTGTTGTTTCTGAGGGCACTAATTACACATTAAGTGGCTTGTGATCCAGTTTTTGCAAAAGGGAACTGGACCCTCCTGATAGAAAGTCATAGGTGTAGTTTCATCTCATTACCACCAGGTGGCAGTCCATAGCAGGTCCAGAATCTAATTTCGTGGGACTTGGTACAGAAAGGCCTGAGAAATATGAGAATTAGGGAACAAATAGTGCAGGTGCTTTGCCACGTGGCAACGTTAGGAGTAGGTAATTTGAACGTGGTAAATCGTTCAATGACTGTCATCTTTATATCTTGGTGACCATGGTACCAGCATATGGCAGGGCTTCCTCCAGCTCTGGCTGGGCATGAGATTTATTCTGTAGCCCTGGAATCTGGTGCCGTGTCTCACTCTAGGGGGTAGTCTTCCTGCCTGGACCATCTCTCTGTGCTTGCTTTCCTGCCTGATTTGGTTTCCCAGCTCTTCCAAAACCTGCATAGCCAACTGATTCTATAATTTCCCCCTGTTTGAAAGAAGGGGTTCCCTTTTCTGATTGGATCTTGCTTAATACAAACTTCCATGTATCCAGTGTTCATCTACGGACTTTATATGCTGATCAATTCTCGTTATTTGCAAAATCACCTACTTGCTAAGATTTCTTTGTAGCCCCAATAATACTCAGGTGCTCTGCAGTCATTCATAGCCATGTACAGGGTGACAAAAAATGTGCAGTGTCTGATGCATGAATTTCTAGCTAAGTTCAAAGACTTCTTGTTTCAGTTCTCCTATAGCAAACAAGTGCCTTTTCTGCTATTTACTGCCACATTTTTTACGTTTTTGTGACTTTTTTGTTGGCAATTTCCCTGTTTAAAATGGCCCTAAAACATAGTGCTCAAGCTCTATCTAGTGTTCTCAAGAGTGAAAAGGCTCAGAGCTAGATGCTTAGAATGAAGTAGTTTTGGGTAATTCTCAGAGTCCTGGAGTGCAGAAGCCATAAAGAAGTTAGAGAATCCAGCCCACAACAAACTACTTTACAGAAAACACATGAATATGAATAATGCAGGAATTACGGTGCTGTTAGCTCACAAGAGATTTATATTTCTATGTATATAAGTATATATGTAGGCCTGTATGGATGCATGCATGCATGCTTCCATCCATCCATCCATCCATCCATCCATCCATCCATCCATCCATCCATCTAAAAAGATACCCTTAAGGGGTCTCTCTGGTGGTGCAAGGGGTTAAGTGTCAGCACTATGAAGCAATGCACAACTTCTGCAGCATGAGTTCAATCCCCGGCCAGGGAGCTGACCCACATGGTGCAGCAGACTTCTCCTGTCTCACCCGCAGCTCCCCTCAGCAGTGTATTTCAGCAGATCCTCCTGTTCGGTTCCCCACTGTCTCTGGCTAATCCGCTCACCCCCCACACCTCTGGCCTATACCCCAGTTCTTGTATGCATAAATAAAAAAAAACTTTTAAAAAATAAAAATAAAAAGATACCCTTAAACAGAAACACACATACAATAAGGTCATGTATTGACTGATAAAAATACTGTGACCAGGGCCTCCCCTGGTGGCGCAGGTGGTTGAGTGCAGCGCTGTGAAGCTGTCCACAGCCTCTGCAGCGCTGGTTCAATCCCAGCCAGCCTGCGAGGGTCCCACATGGCGCGCAGACCTCTCCGGTCGGTCCCGCTGCTCCCCTCAGCAGTGTCTTCCGTCTGTCTGCCTGTTCTGTTCCCCGCTCTGGCTCTGGTGAATTCTCTCACCCTCCCGTACATCTAGCCTGTACCCTGGTTCTTGTATAAATAAACAATAAATCTTAAAAAAAATAAAAATAAAAAAAATAAAAATACTGTGACCAGGTTGGGCTGCTAGTCCTGAGACCCTACTTGGAGAGTCACTATCTGGGAGGGTTAGTCTTTTTTGCAGGAAGCACAAATTACCCAGGGGAACAGAATGACTGAATATCTTTCAGTGTGAAGACTGAGTTGGGTCCTGCTTCATCGCACACTTTTTGAATTGTATCCTCAAACAACAGAAGTGAAAAGGAAATAACAGAATTCAACTCAAACCCAAATGAGCCAGAAAGAAATAGACCTTGGGGATCACTCTGACTCCTGCTTTAATGTTTTAGGTAATAAAAACTAGTGAAGACGAAGTAAAAGAAAATTTAATGGAGAACAGGAAGAATAGACATTTTTTTCCCCCAAAGCATTATGAAAGGAAAGAAAATAGCTCACCGGTTGTGGAGATCACCCATTAAGTTTCTCCAGAAGTTTAACTTCTCTTTCTGCAATGACAAGAAATTGAAAATTGAGGTCTGCAAGTGGCTTTCTCTCATGATCAAGTTACATTTTGCAAGTGACTTTTTTTTCATAAAAAGTTGCTTTGAAAATGAAAACAGGAAGTTTTCCCTGAGGGGTGCAGGTCATGGGGTAGGGGGTTGGGGGTGGAAGGTTCTCCTGCCTGAAACACTGAGTCAGGCAGATGAGTACTTTGAAATTTAGAGGCTTGGTTTGCAACCAGTTCCTTCAGCAACTAATTGAACAAAATACTCAATTTCCATGTTTCACCTATAAAATAAGACTGTAGTGAGAGTTAAAAATTTGTGTTACTGAAGTAGCATTGGTTAAAATAGTGAGATTTAAATGTTCTACCATGTAATTTTATCATATGTTGGGCATGTTGGAATTATTCAATAACCAAAAGCTACTGTTGTTGTTCATTACTGTTGACAAACATCACACAACAATACACCACTTCTCTGATGGTTAAAATTTCAAATGAGCAGAAAAACATTCAAGAAAAATTGCTTTAAGACAGCTCAGAAAATCTTAAGTTTCAATGAATACTAGTACAATATTTCAATAAAATACATAATCTAGTAAGTAGCTTTTCTTACAATGAAAATAATGACATACAGAACTTGAGAAAGGAAAACAAATGTTCATATTTTTTACCAATTTCTGAGATTATTAGACTAGTTCCTGATAAGTAAGCACAACTTTTAGGAATGCTTTTATCTGATGCCCAAGTAAATTAAATGAGTGTGTTTCTTGGGCACAATTATTATTATTTTTTAAGATTTATTTCTTTATGCATACAAGAGCTGTGGTACAGGCCAGAGATTAGGGGGTGCAGTGAGAGGATTCACCAGAGACAGAGCGGGGAGCAGAACAGGCAAATCTATTGAAATACACTGCTGAGGGGAGCAGCGGGTGAGACAGGAAAGGTCTGCTGTGCCATGTGGGTAGCTCCTTGGCTGGCTGGGGATCGAACTTGTGCTACAGTGGCTATGGATAGCTTCACAGTGCTGTGCTTAACCCCATGTGCCACCAGGAAGGCCCCTCCTTGGGCACAATTACAAAGAAGTGTAAGACATGGTCTAGTTACCCATGAACCCCCTAAAATGAAAACTATTGATAATAATATCCAGAGATAGAGTAGCAATTTCACAAACTCTAATTACTATAAAGATCATGTATCAAAATTAAAAAAAAGAAAAGAAAATATTTAAAAGAAATTCTATTTTTTCCCAGGATTTTTTTTTTTTTTTTAAGATTTATTTATTTTTATACAAGAACCAGGGTACAGGCCAAATGCGCAGGAGGGTGAGAGGATTCACTGGAGACAGAGCAGGGAACAGAACAGGCAGACTGACTAAATATAAATACATTGCTGAGGGAGCAGCGGGCGAGACAGGAGAGGTCTGCTTGGCCATGTGGGATTCTCGCCGGCCGGCCAGGATTGAACCCATGCTGCAGAGGCTGCAGACAGCTCCACAGTGTGGCACTCAACCGCCTGCACCATCAGGGAGTCCCTCTCAGGATGCTATTTTGATAGAATAATAAGTTTCAAAAGAAAATATTTTTGGTACACTTGCTTTACCAGCGCCTTAGGTATGTGAACAATTTTTCTGTTGGGCAAGATGGCACTGATAGTACATTGGGTTGTACAGGGTGAGGCCCACGGACTGGTATAATCAGTCAGTAGTAGAGATCATGGGAATTAAGGGAAAGAAGCAATCCCATGTGGTGCAGCTGCTAGGGAAGGCTTTATGGGGGATGGAGCCTGAGTGTCAAGGAGACACTCAGCAGAGGTAAGCAGAGAGGACAGTTTTTGTAAAAGCAAAAATGGCAGGAAAGAATGATTTGGGTAAAAGTCATGCAATTTTGGGGGTGTGTATGGCATAGATTACCAGGTTATTGAGACCCTTGAAAGTAGGTGCAAAAGACCAAATGTGACTTGATTGGCTAAGGGAGTAGCTTCCACAGCATGGTGGCAGCGTATTGGAAAGCCACACCTGTTAGTAGTCAGCAAGGGAAATGAAAAGGATTAAGTACAAATTTAAGAGTTGATTCTTTAATGCAGCAGACCTCTCCTGTCTTGCACACTGCTCCCCTCAGCAGTGTATTTCAGTAGATTTGCCTGCTCTGTTCTTCATTCTCTCTGGTGAATCCTCTCACCCCTCCACCCCACACCTCTAGCCTACACCCCAGCTCTTGTACACATAAATAAATATTTTTTTAAAAAGAGTTGATCCTTTGGGATGAAAAGAACCTGGCATACAGTAGCATCAAAGGAAATCCTAAGAGAACAAATTTGGAAATCTGTTTTTTCAAGTTTTCCTTAATTTTCAAGTTAATTAGGCATTACTTCTACTGTCCCTGGTTTCTCTTATCACTTTGGTTTCTCCACGTGTCTTGGGAAAGTTATTTTGTCTAAAGACTGTTTCCTTAGATGTAAAATGACAAGTATAATATTCGGGAGCTAGGATTAAGTCATTGGAAATAAGTGAAAAAACACAGCAGAGTATTGAGTGCAGGGGCCGGCACCAACTACGATCTCCACAACAAAGACTATGATTTCTCATTTAGCATCATCATCGTCATTTATTAAGTCAGTTTTCTGCCACTCATTGGAAGTTCCCCAAAAATCCAATGATTGCATCTCATTGTCATTATTTCTTTAAAAAGGAAGGTCACGTAGGACTTTTGCAAATGCAGAATGTGTAGAATTTTAAGAAGAAAAACAAAGTCAACTCTTGATAAGAGAAGGGATTTGTGCGACAAAAGAGGAAATCATTAAAACTATTCTTGGACGCTGACAAATGTTAAGAATGGTAGGGTGGTTGGAAGGAGAGCCAAGCACAATGTTGGAGAGAATCAAAATTCAATATTTAGCCTATTGAGCTGATAAAATGATATGATGCATCCAGTCACATTCCATTAGAAATAAAAAAAAAAAAACACCAATCTATCCACAGAGAACAACAGAGGAGATAAAAACAGGAAGTTCATGAATGTGAAGTAACAGGCCTGGTACCCCACAGTGAGGAGAGCCTAAAACTAACTCAATAGAGATGATAGGATTCCTTTTTTTTCATAGTAAATATATTATTTTATTGTTTTATATATATATTTATTACATCACCCTTCATTTTTGTACAATGCATGATTTCCCATGAAATTCCCACTACCAACTCACCCCTGCACCATCACCATAGTCCCTTGTGCTCCTCCCCCCTACAGAATGTCTCTGGTCTATGGCTGCCTGTTGATTTTGATTTTTACTTTATTATAGTTATTTTTTTCCCCTGATCCTTTATTTGGTTCCTCTGCATTCCTTCTTGTATAAGTGAAACCATCCGATCTTTAGGAGAACAGGAATTAACCGGGAGGGCTGAAATCAGGACAATGTGAAAGTGTTTAAGAAGCTGGTAGGTTCCTAAACCCCTTTCTGCACTCCTGGTCTCAGGATGGTTTCTACTCTCCATGTCAATCAAAGAATGTCAGGTTAGTGCTTGAAAAGGTTAAAAATAGGGTTTCTGGACCAGGAACATAGTAAAGAACTCATAGCCGAGAACAGGGGTTCTGAACCCCAAACCAAGAGGTAAAGTGAATGCTAAGACAAAATGCTAAGACCTCAGCTGTTCCCCTGCTTGGCTCTGGGAGTGCTACCTTCTGCAGATGTCCCCAGACATCATCTAACATGAAAAACAGAAACTGAAACTAGCAACCAAAGGTACTTAAAACAGAGATTAGGAAGAAAATAAAAACAAAACCATTGACCACAAAAAATCTTCACATCACTTTCATTCAAAAAGTACAGAAAGTTATTTAAAAAAAATCAGAGAATGATAACCTCAACAAGTTCCTGGAAATTAAAACAAGACAACAAAAATGAATATTTAAGTAGAGAACCTAGAAGAAAAAGATGAGGAAATCCCAGATAAGGCAGCCAAAGAAATACAAATGTAGAAAATCTAATAGGAAAGATTAAAAACAACAACAACAACAACAACACTGGAGGATCATTGAGGAAGGCCAGTATACATCTCACAGGAATTCTGTTAGGGGAAAAAGGATGTCCTAAAGCTAATCCCATACAGGCTTTGTGGACTCCACCCCCACCCCAGGCCAAAGCCAAAGACACTGGGAACTCCAAATCCCATCACCACCAAAGGGAAGGTGGCTGGGACCTGAGGGTGGGGTTAAGCAGCCAGGTGGATATAAAAGGCAGACACGTGGGCTTTGGGGGATCCCCATTTTGGCTCTCCGCCAGCTTGCAGCGTCCGGACAGCTCTGAGAGTGACTTTGGGTTTTCAGGTCGGTGGATCTGGTAGGATGCATTAAAGACTTTATTTCCCGAATTTGTCAATAAATAATTTGAGAAAACTTACAGAGCCGAAAGATATGAGTTTCTAAAGAAAAACACTCTAAAGTGTCCAACATAATGGATAAAAAGAGACTCAACTAAATCATCTTCTTCCCTAGTGGAAGATAGCTATCTAAATCTGAAAAAAAAAAAAAAAAAAAAAAAAAAAAAAATCAAGAAATGGTAAGAGGAGCATTCATTCAGAGAAATAGAGACAACCAGCCAACCAGCCAAAACAGGCAGCTAAAACTGTGCCTTGAGTTAAGGAAAATGAGTCACAAGTGCCTTGATGATTTGGGAACCAAAATGGTCTCATAAGAACAAAGCCATAGGAAAAGATAAACTATATGATAGTGAGCAGTAACAAAGGCAGTGTTGAAAGAGCCCACTCACATCTGTTTATTTAACCTCCATTAATGGTTAACATGCAGTACTGTGGGCCAGGTCACATGCTGGCCTGGCGGATGACCAGGACAGGATGGAGAAGATCGAAAATTACAACCTAGTGAGGTGGGCAAACATCAACAATGAATTATAACCTCAAGTCACAACAGAACTCATGGACACAGCATGAAAATCAGGGAACCAACACTTAACCTTTCAGAACATTCTAGAACTGTTCAGTTCAATGCA